AGCCAGCCATGCTGGCTGGGGAATTCTGGGAGTTTAAGTCCACTCATCTTAAAGTGGCCAAGTTTGGACAACACTGCTTTATACAATTCGGGACTAAAAAATGCATAGTGCATCTGCTCTGATTCCCTTGAATATGTCAAACATAACCAACAGCTGGTCCTATTCTGCGAGCGGCACTGAGGGACACGCCACGCTTCTGTAGAGTTTGCAAGAACTCTAAGTGAACTTAGCAACTGCCCTCCGATACGTTCCAAGATGATGGCCAAGAGGTGACGTTGTGCATATTAAGAAGCATAAACTTGCATTGTTTCTCTTCCCCCATTACGGAACAGGAATAATAGGGGGACTTATAGGAGTAAAAGTGCTCAAAAAGTGCCCTGACATAGAACTACTGAGGTGCGTAATTACCGGGTACCAGCCCTTTATAAGGGGAGTGAGAAAAGAAACATGAAACGAAGTCCCAACTGGAAACTCTTCCCCTTCTCTGTCATTAAACAAACCACTAAGGATGCTTCGCAATGTTTGTCGACAACGATCTTTGGGATACGGCTTAGTAAACTGCTACAACATTTTCAGCTTCATTTTTTCCCTGATCCCTCAAGAATTGACACGGAAATAGAATTCAAAGGGAATTTGCCCATTTATAGTCAACAAGTATTTTCATCCCATTGTGGACTTTTCAGTTTACCGTGAGAATACTTTACAATTTAACAAAAGAAGCCGAATACCAAAAATATCTATTAAATCCTTGGGCTAAATCTACAATTCTTCCCTAACCACTGAGTCATAATCGTACAAGTGCAGCCTCCGTACAATCTAAATATGGAGATGAGCTCCCATTTTTGATCTCCTTTCGGTGTTTTGCTCTACAACTTGGAAATAGCTTAAGAGATGCAAGGTAACTCCAAACCATTCAGAGACAAGGCACTGGAAAGCAGACAATTATAGTACAATACAGTTGACTGAATTCTTCATTGGTTTTGTTTTATTGCTGCCTCAGACCAGGAAAAAAGTGCAGAAAAATTAAGTTATGGATGAAGTCGTAGTCAGTATTACAGTTCACGTCTGCTTAAAATGGGCATGATGAGCCTGACGTAAGCTTGCATGGCAAAAACCCATCTTTAAAGGTGGTTGCGCTTAATTTATCACTTACATTGTCAATATTATACTAGAATGCTTCCAAACAAAACTTGAGCTACAAATATTTAAACTGCCTTTACCAACAACTGCTTTACCTGAGGCAGGGGTGTCTGCAGGCATGGTAAAAAAAATCAGGATGGCGTCTGTGACGGTGCGATCAAAGCGTGACCCGCTCTTGTGTGTCCATGACGCACTGAAAGAACAGACAGAGCTCAATCCCACCGTCATCTTGACTTCTGTGGCCTTACGCTGCAGACGTTCCCGATACGAGGTCAGTCTTTATAACATGTAAGTCAGTAGAACTGAATATAAGCATTAAGGCTTTGTATCTTGCTATAGATATCAGAGGAGGCGCAGCCAACGGAAGGGGGCCAGACACGGCAACTGCCACTGTTAACTGGCATAATTCACCAAGAAGGGTGCTACAAATCTCTCCCATGAATTTCAACGATACCGGAATCTCACCCCGTCTCATTGGATTCAAGAGCGGTACAGGTGATTTTACGGGGCTGCCAAGGTATTTTTAAAAGCTTTAGTTACAAATACAGTGCAAATTCAGTGCATGTTATCCCTCCATTTAAATTCGTTACTCGTGAAAGTCATCCGGGAGGTCAAACGATTCCTATGAAGCCTCAAGATTAAATCCTCTCCACGTAAGACAAAAAAATCGAATGCATAGTAACTGTAAACATTTACGTTACGTGATCCTCTCAAACTGGCACATCAGCACATCGATGACAAGCCGAGTATTATGCTTCCCACCAGCTCACAATGGATTTCCCACTCATCCACTAACACTTGACATCTCAGTTAGATTATTACTATTATTTAATTAACCTCCTATTGTATTTAAAACCTGTGACATTAATATTCAGTAAGATTGTTCATGTCAATTTCACACAACACGGATGAAAACCTCCAGTGCGTTCAATCAAACAGTGACATGACCTCCTAACTCTCTCACCAGAGGCAGAAAATAGGGCGGGTGGGTCCGCATGAGCGTAAAATCCCTTCCCCAACGCCCACAAAAACATGAAGTGATGGAAACAAGGGTGGGGTTATGCAATGTGAGGACGCAAGCAGGGTAGGTCTGTGCTGGGAAACCCTCGTTGTCCCACTGAAGTTCCAACGGTCTCCATCCGAGGCAGCCTAAACGCCCTTTCTGGCACGAAGGAATTCAACCCAATGCAGAAGACCAACCCGTGTAAATTCCCTTCTCAGAAAAAAAATCTACTTATCAGGTCAATGCTCCGTTATCATCCCCATCACACAGCAAACAATTCTGCCTGTTAGGTTTCAGCTAAAAATAGCATTTGAGGTCCTGGCTCCAGCTTCCTCTTCACCAAAACAAGGTCATTAAAACAGGCCATTTCAAGAAATGGTTTGGCCATGTGGTGTCTGGACCTGATTTCAACAGAATCTCCTTCAATATATATATATACTGATATATATATCAGTACTAATGATTTCTTTATGCCCCTTAGTGTGCGCTCGCTCTCTCTCTCTCTCTCTATTCTGTATGCCCCTTAGCTATATATATATAAAAATATATGCCCCTTAGCAATTTATTTATTTATTTATTTATTTATTTAGCTAGCTAGCTAGCTAGCTAGCTAGCTAAGGGGCATAAAGAAATCATCAGTACTCCACAAGAGTTTTGATGCATAAAATCTTGCCGTAGTGTGAAATTGGTTAAACTTCATGTGCTAGGAGACAAACACCTATAAAGAATATTTAGGCAGATTCCCCTCCCACCCCCCTATTGCCAATTCACAGGGAGGCATCCAGCCGAGCGCGCGCCAATCCGGGTGCCCCGTCGATGCGGCCGCCCTTTGCACAACTCCCGTCATGTGCAAGTAAAAAGGAGCAGTGAAAGGTTATGCAACACAGAGAACACCAACATAGCAGAGGTCAAACCAGCAGCAATAATATAATATGAATGCAAGTTTCCACTTTTTTGGGAAAAAAAATTATATATTTTTAAAAAGCAGAATAGCAAGACATTTATTTTATCTCCAAAGACTGTTCACATGGTGAAAGTATGAAAAATGTTTCTGGTTCACAGGCACAGGCCTTCCTGAGCCTGTCAGTATGATAAATTAGTATTTCTTGAACAATTTGATTTACAACGGGTTTTTTTTTTTCAATTTGTTGAGGTAGTCGGTTTTACTTTGGGGAAACAAACCTTCCCAACGTTAATTTCTATCTTATTGCCCCAATCCTGAGTAATCTGAATAATAGTGCAAACAGTTTTATACCATACTTTTAGACAATGTGTTTCTATTAAAATTTATTGGCACTTAAACTGCCGTTCTGTCTGAATTCTTTCTCCCATTCTAATTCTTACGAGTCAGTTTCATGTGGGGAAGTTCAGAACTAGCATCTTATGACAGTTTAAATGATGGTAGATTACAAACAAGGGAAAGATCTGGTCAGTTGGAAGCCAGTATCAGTAAATGCCACTTTTAAGTAAAGTAAGGGATAAACTGATAAAATAAAATCACTCCCTGCAAGAAAGTTGGCTTCTAAATAACGCAAATCAACAATTTTTGCCTATGATTTCCACACAGTTTGTCCAAGACACTTTGATTATAAAAGAACTTCTAGCCTGTCAAATGTTGTTTGGAGCTCTGCAGAAAGCAGGCCTATTTTCCATGGTATGAAATCCTCACCCCTAAAATGATTAAGAATATACAGATAATTATAATTCCAATTTGATTTTGGAAAACATCAGATACTTTTCATAATTTTTAGAAATCAGGGTTTTTAAAAAAAAGTACCACCCACAAAAACGGACGCCTAAATTATTGTAAGATCTTACAAGATGGAGCTCCCGGAGAGATAATTTAACTGAGACAAATTTGGGATTTTTCCAAAATCAAAGCCTTTGTAGGGCAAACTGAAGTGATAGTTGTATATAGCATTGAAAGATCACAAGCCCCCTTTGGAATTTGTGTTCAGATGACCAAACAAAGGTGAATAAACAACCCTCGAGAATACAAAGCATTTCAAATATTATGGTTTTAGAAGATACCTGGTTACTAAATGCAATGTATTAAATTATCTGAATGATCTAAAGGCCTTAAAAGTCTAACACTGTCTATGCTGGTACTTGTGACATCCACTGTCTTAAAAATACACAAGACACTACAAGTGGAAGATTTGGCTTAGACAAATCCATAGACCAGGGCTTCTCAATCGTGGCAACTTTAAGACGGGTGGACTTCAACATATGCTGGCTGGGGAATTCTGGGAGTTGAAGTCCACCCGTCTTAAAGTTGCCACAGTTGAGAAACCCTGCTGTAGATTAATCAAGCCACCATTTAAGGATTGGGCTGCAGTTTCGTCCCTTTTCAAAAGGACTTCTAGCCTCTTCGACCACCACCAAACTGGGAAATGTCCATAGTGTTAAGTAACTCTCGATTTCTCTTCCACATTTCAGTGCAAATTACATGCCGATGGTATTCAACATTGCTTCCACAAAACATGGTACTCTTCGTCCTTAAATGCGGGATTACAGTCCATTTCAATTCCAGTCTGACATCATTTGTTTAGAAAATTCAAGCTGACACCCAAAGTGAAGCCAAACTATGAGCCCCACCTTAGTCTGTAGAACTAAGGGGGTTTTAGGCCTGGGTTATCAGTCACGCAGCTTGATTCATATCAGAGTAAGAAGAAGCTCCTATTCCACCGAGATTCCAAAGTCCTTAAGATCCGGCACAATGATGGAATCCAACTTCTCTTCAAATTTGGCTGTTCCCCGCCCCCCCCCCGAGACTCTGCCCTCCCACCAGCCCTCAGAGGTACATTTTGAGGAGGTGGTGGGGCTAAGGAAGGAAGGAGAAAATCTTCACTCCCCCATTCCATCAGGGCTCACCCAGAGTCTTCGGTACTACACAGCTAACCTTATAGAGGCTTCACATAGTTCTATGGAACGTACTTCCTGGAAAGCATATTTAGGATTGCAACCTTAGCCAAAAAAAAGTAGTGTATTTAAAAAAAAAAAAAAACTCTTCTGTGGTCACTGATCTAGTACCAAATGCAACCGATCTCAAGAACAAATTTAGATGCATCTAAAATATATCCCCTTTCCCCCTTTAATGGCCAACCCTCTGACCTTCTCTGTTTTCGAAACATCCCTGAGTTTCAAGTATATATAATTCATCCTGCAAACTGTGAAAGAAACACAACCTCAGAGCCCTTCCGGCCACTGCCCCCCCCATGGCTCTTTGGATCCCGGTCCAAACTACTAGCTTTCACCCATTAATGAAGCAGGGGACAAATGCTTAAAAGTGCAGAAACGTCAGAAGGCATTCTATTCGTGAGTTATGTTAAGTTGTGGCACGACAAAATTCCCACCATGGCCCAAATTTCAAATCAATCACAGCTTATCATCATCTCTCTCTACATTATGCAACGTCCTTCAATTACTGAATTCCTGCAAGAGAAGCAGATATTCCAGTTACCTAGATTTTAGGATCGCAAATGTTCCATCTGAAGCACAACGGAGACCATCTGGCTGAGGTGGCTGGTCGTGTCGCTACTGCTTTACCTATGGTACAAAACTGAAACCACCTTAATACATATCCCTGTATATTTCTTGTAGCAAAGGATGTAAGTGTGCATCGGATTCAGTCTTTTTGATTATCTGAACAAGCTGAGCGTGTTCTGTGACAAGCTGCCGGAGATCTGCCAGTTTCTGGAGAAGTTTGGGGAATAGGAAGATGTCATCCGGATGGTTGCTTTCTAAGTGAAGTTTTAGTACGTGTACAATGCTTTCCTGCATCTTTTCAATGTGTCCTATGTTTACCAGGCCTGGCCGATCTGTTCTCAAAAACAAAAATATTGTATTATGTTATCCTATCACTGCTAATGGGCATCAAGCACTTATCTGCACTTAGTCCAGTGAAAGTCCCTTTATTACTCAGGGGCTATATTGTCAATGCCCAGATACTATACAGGTAGTCCTTGTTTAGTGACTGCCTTGTTTAGCGGCTGTTCGCAGTTACAACGGTGATGAAAAAGTAATTTTCACCCGTTGGGGGGAGATGGGCGGCATACAAATTTAATAATAAATAAATAAGTAAATTCTGTGACCAATCCTTCCATTTATGACCTTCACAGGTCTGTAAAGGAAAGGAAAGCTGAAGTGAGATCATAAGCACAGTTGCGGTTTCACGTAGCGATTGCTTTGCTTAATGACTGAGTTGTTGGTCCCCACTGTGGTCGCTAAATAAGGACTACTTGTACCAGCTTGTTGGAAAACAGCATTATTTTGCATGCCTTTGAAAAGGATGCAGAACTTTAATTTTTGGTTTCATTACCATGGTAGCTATTTATGGGATTATGATCCTTGGTTAACTATACCTTGTTAATTTTAAATTACCTTGAACTGTTTACCTCCCATTTTTCCAGCCCTTTTAGTGAGTATGTTACAAACTCTTTCATATGGAAAGAGCGGCATGCAAAACCTGAAACGCTCCTGCAGTTGCCAGAAGAATATTGGAATAATTCTGGTAAGATCTGAATAACAAATATTGAATTCAGAATATAAGGAACCCAGAATACCTGTTTGGAGTCTGAAGTGGGTCCCTTTTTGAGCTGAAAGCAGGACCCTTATTGAGAGACACACTCCATAAAACATACTGCTATTACAGGAAAGACAACGGTAAATGAAGGCTTACCTCCACAACATATTATAGCAGCCACGAAGAGAGAGATGTCACTGTCATCTAACTCCAAGGCGTTGAATTTCATTGCAAAGTCAAACTTCGGCTCCATGATATCACAAAAAGGCTTCCTTAAGCTTTTGAGGAATTCTCGCGTTATGAAACCATTTCCATAAGCAACAAGCATGCCATCTTTGTTCATCATGGAGGCCAGCATGGCAAAGATGGCTTCATAAACCCCATATTTCAACAGGGTCACCTGGTCATTCAGGTCTAGGCTACAGAAGCCAGGAATTGATTTGGCAAATTCCGTAAGTTCTGTGACAGCCTCCACCGAGGTGCACTGGCAGCAGTGGAAAATTCTCACCTCGGCCTCCTTGTTCTGGATGCCGTTGCCCACCAGCTTTGCCACCAGCGTCTTCTCGGCCATGCACAACGTGTCCATATCATGTATGACAAATGGCTGCAGTGAAAGAAGAAGAGCAGGTCCTTCAATTAAGTAACTGTCAGGAACAATACAGTGCAACAGATGTGGTTCGGGAAGTTCCCTTTTGAACCTCGGGCACTGTTATTACAGATTAATGTGGACTCCACCAACTTAACAATAATTTAAAGAATATATAGTATTTTGACAGCAATAGTGGTCATTACACATACCCGGTAATTCTCATGGTTATTCTCTGTGGCTGTGCTTGCAATTACGCACTCTAAAATCTGACTAAAAATGATTATTTGACTCCTGGGTTGCTTCTGTGCTCGTGCACAAAAGCGAGCCATTTGCATCGGGCAGGTTTGTTCTGCACCTTCGTGCGCAGGATTCACACCACGTCCAAGGAAGTGCAGGCTGACTCCAGAGAGAAAAGAGGTGCAGGAGGACAAACTCTGTTAGCTGGAGGCAAAGCAAGGCAGGATCCAACTCAAACAGGTTTGCACCCTTGGAACAAACGGGGGCACACACAGACGCTGCATTTCTGCCCCTGTGTGTTCCGAGGCCCCACTTGTGATGCAAATTCGGATCATTGCACAATCACGATCATTTGCTCAATTACCCGAACTGAAAAGTTTGAGTGTGTTTCTGTTTGAGCTGGATCCTGCCTTGCCTTCCCCCCAGCTAACACAGTGTTAAAACACATCAACAGGAATGCTGTTTCTAAAAGACACTGTTCTTATCCCTTTTGCATAATTGTTCCAGAAAAGCTAAACGGCTTTGTCAAATTCATTTCAATCTACCAGCTCAGCACAGAAACAATATTCGGAACGGTTCAGAACCTTAAGAACTGGCATCATGAACTGGACCATCTTTCTCAACACTGCAGATGAAAAAACAACGCCTCTGTTTTCACCCCAAGAATGGTCTGAATTCTATTACATACCATGTGGTCCTTGCTCCTACATGTTACATTCATAAACTCTACAGTAGCTTGTTGACTAGAGTTTTAAAAGAAAAAAGGTGTCTGTTATTTTGGTTAGGTATTCGAGAAAGAAAACCACACTTGCTACATCTAAAATAAAAAGCTGGAATTAAGCGGGAGCTAGAAGACGTCTTGGGGTAAAAATTAACGGGATTTATTTCTGAGTGGAGGGACTGTAAGTGCATTTCATTGTTCCTGCAATTATTTTGGCAACGGAAGAACTATTGAATGCCATGGCATTCTAATTAGCAGGATACTTAAGTGTGGCCTGGATGGCAATGACAATTAGGCGAATACACAGCTTGCATGAAAATCATACTCATCAATAATTCCTCAAAAACTGAAATAAAGTATTAACAAGGGTATCACAGGATTCTGTTTTGGACCCAGTGTTCTTCAATATCTTTATTAATGACTCGGGGAAAGAAGCCCAGGCAACCGATCCTGTAGATCAGTGTCGTCCAAACTTGGCCACTTTAAGATGAGTGGACTTCAACTCCCAGAATTC